GACTCTCTCCCTCCACTCTACCAGCCAGAGTTGAGGGAAGGGGATGTATACTGGTGACCTCCCTCTCCTCATCCGCCTCCAGGTTAGGCGGCTAGCCCCCACCGGAGGTGGCGAATTATCTCCCCCAGGCTCAGCGCCTGGGCTGCCCCAAGGAGACGCTGCTCCCACTGAAGGACCCAACCAGAGCCCTGGTTTTGGCGGCAACTCGGCCCCAGAACCAGAGCGCGGCCGCTTCCCGCCCTTTCCCGCGCGCTCTCGCCTACTTGAGGGAGGGGGCGAGCCCACACATCCTCCTCCCCCCCCCCGCGCGCTCCCTAGCTCCGCGCGGGCACGTGCATCCAGCCGCCCTCCCGCCAAAACCAACCGGATCGAGCCGGCTCCACTCGGCCGCCCATTAATCCGACCAGGCCCAGCCGCCACCCTGTTCATTCGAGCTGCCCCCTTCCCCGACTCAGGCTGCTTCGCCCAAGGCCATTAACCGCGCGCGACGGGTAACGGTCACGAAGTGACTCGCGCTGCCCCGCCCCTCCCCCGCGACCGTTGGGGCCTCTCCCGCGCGCCGCCTCACAACCGTTACCGCCCCAAAGGGGGGGAGGGGAGAATGAGCGGTTAGTCCCGCCCCCTCAGCAACGGCGGGGGGGGAGGGAGAGCAGTTTGGGCCTAGGGCCTTAGCCCCGCAAACGGGAGCGGGTGAAGTGGCTGCCCTTCGGCCGCGCCACGTACCTTTCTCTTGGGCATGTCTCCGGGCGGTGCGTGAGGAGCTCGGTTGGGCGGAGTGAGAGGGTCTCGCTAGGTCCGGGCTGGGCGGTGTGGGCAGGGGAGGCTCACGTAGATCGGACGGTATGGCAGGCGTAGGCGTTAGGTTCCCTGGTCTCTCTCCCGACCCCACTAATTTGAATCGGGTGTTTATAAAGTTTTATATAGAGCCGGACGCGGCCCAACCGGTTCCAGCCGGATCCCCACCGCCCCGCCCGCCCATTGGCCAGCACGGGTCACGTGGGGGAAGGGCCAAACTGGGCGGGGGAGGAGAGAGAGAAAAGAGGAGGTGGCGCGCGCAGCTCTGCCCTCTTCTCCCGTCCCCGCCATGCCAACGCTCGCGCTGCGCCCGCCTCGCGCCTCCCAACTGCGCCGTGCAAACCTGCTGCTAAGGCCCCCCCGTCTCCCCGCCGAGCAAGCCGGGGCCTGGCTGTTC